TCAAGAAAAAGACGAGTCATTTGAGCCCATGTAGTAATAGAATTAGGGGGAAGATAAAATAACCACTCCTTATCCGAATCGGATAAGGAAAAAGGAAAAACTCTAAGTTTGATTTGGTCCTCGGTTACTCCCTGTGGTCTTATGCTAGAGCAGACCATGTGAAATTCCGTGAGATCTTTGTTTAGATTCTCGTTCGGTAATCCGCGGAATGTAGGGAGAGATGAATATGGTCATTTTCAACTGTACAGAGTTTCACCTTAGGGAAAATCAATGCACAAAGGCTTTTGTTCAGTAGTTGCCACGGCTACTCTCGGATGGTATGATCGACCATCGGAATTGGTTTGTATTAACGTATTTCACCTGGATTAATTCTTCTTCTGGATTTGATTATTGTCTCCTCTTTCCCGAAGCGTCTGTGCGTGAAATATCCTAGCTCTGGCTTCGATCTCCAGGTCGTACTCCACTAATGTGTCCGGATTAGTCCTGGTCATAAATCAAAAGCAAACAAAAAGTACTTTGGCGAAGTCCCTGGCAACGGCGCCAATTGACAACTGTCATTTCGATGTCAAATAAAATCCTTCCTATCGATTAATAAATAAATAAAGGAAATTCGTAGTGTAGAAAAGTAAGGGTTGATTCCACAGGGACTTAGAAAATTATAAATTTTCTGTTTGAATTATTTAACCAGGCGTGAAAGTAGTAAATGGGGGGTTTGGAAAAAAATTAAATAATAATAAAGGCGATTTGAAGAAAAAATGAAGTAATGATTTTAAAGTCGAAAAATAGATATGGTAAAAATAGCCTCAAGCTTCGCTTTGACTCAATTTCCTTTAGATCATCGAATTAGATTTTTCCTTTGGGATTCACGTCGGTTACTTTGTCTACAAGGGCAATCCCTGTGACTCTATTTTGTATAGAAAATACCCAAGGCAATCTTTGATTCCGGCTACGGAAATTGGTATAATCACATCAATTGTCGTAGATCAATTACCGTTTAAGTTCATGGCGACCGAATCGATTGTTGCTTTTATTACCGTCAATTCCGATCTCAATTCCCCCTTGGTGAAGCTATCTCACCAAGTGTGTTCACATGAAGTCGAATGTGCTTTCTATAAGCCGAATCTTCCTCCCACATTTAATCGCAACAAAAATCTAGACCAAAGTCTATCTTTGATTTTAAAAACTGTTTTGATTTTGAAAAATAAGCACATAGATTGAGAGAGATATTCCGAAGATATTAAGGATATGTTCAATTCTCCGTTGGAATTGAATCATCGCTTCAGCTCTCGGCTTATGAAAAAGTTTGCTAAGCATGACAAAAGTCATATTTAGTATATTAAAAACAAAGCTTGAAAATAAAAGAAAATAAAAAATTGAAAAGTAAAAAGAGAAAGCTTTAATAAAACTAGAAAGAAGAAGAGAATTGTAATCTGATAAGTGAGTTTAGGCTTACCCCTAAGAGGGTATTTATAGCCTCTCAAAGCCTAAGGATAAACAAAGAAATTAAAATATCCTAAAGATAATTGTCTTTTTCTAAATTCAACTTTAAACTAGTTTCCTAATGCAACTATTTTCGTCCATCTTCCAGAAGGCAAGCTATGTATATCTTCTAGAACCCGTTGCTGATTGGACCTTCTAGAAACTGCTACGTCAGACCGTGTCATGCCAGAGTTATGCCCATGTCTCCAGCCATGACAAATAATAAAAAAAAATACAGAATGCGCCTTATCACTAATTCTGGAAGCAAGACCCTGCACGAAAATAAGCATAACACAACCAATCAGTAGCAATAATTCATAAAATCGAAGAATTAACGAGCAATACTACCGATTATGAACACTCATCAAAAATAGTTCCAAAACTCATTTTTCTCACCTTTACCACTTCCTTCAAAAGTCATGCTTTTCTTTACTAGCTTTGAAGAGTCTCCTTTTACTCACAAACTCATGAAGAAACATTTTCTCTTTAGCCCGACTTGTACAAATCTAACAGTTGAGTCCGTACTCAATATCTCTACAAGGATCAAATCACACTTCGTCTTTGATCTAACTCTAGATCTGGTGAAACCCTAGTAGGATTACCTCTAAAAGAAACTTCTAATGAAATTTTTAACTTTCTTCATAACTAAAAGGAATAGAAGGGGACCTAGGAACATCCTTCAAGATAGTCGAGTTTGTCCAATTGATCTTTCTTATAACAACCTTTGAATCATTTTCTGCTTTGAAATTTCTAACACCATACTATATCGTCCCACTATAACCATCATCAAGAGAACCTTTCAACTCTTGATTTGTCTCCTCTTCCTAGATATTTCAATATTAGGCCTGAAATCCTTAGCAAAACCTAGACGAACATCTATCTGGCTAAGGCCTATAGGGTAAACAACAGAAGACGAGTAGAGCATCCTCATACTTTTCTACCATCCTTTATAATATCTCACCAACTTTTCTATGCCCTCCTAGAGCCAAATGTCTCTACGACCGATAACACTAGAGGACTTTCCCTACCGATCAAATCATATCTGACTTTGAACCCGATAGGGTTATTTTTCTTAAGGGAATATCTAAAAACATTATGATGAAGATTAACTTTGAGACATCTAGTCATCCACCTCTTTATTACAAAAAAAAAAAGCTTCATTTCCTCATTTCCTGATCCTATATACAGGTCCTTGCCCACTGATCGAAGATACTTCATTAGAGAGGGAAGTCAAACCATCTAGGTAACTTTCGAGTCACTTTGACGAACCTAGAATGATACAAGCTCAGCTTCAGCTTACTGGTCTAACATACAATAAGATCCTCAATCTTAAACCTCTATCACGCCTCTATATGAAGCATAAAGCTCCATGCAACCTTGTTCCCACACTATTAATAAATAGATTTTAATACAAACATAGAAGACAACCACTTCTTTCTCGATAAAAAGTCAATAAACATATTAGAATCCACCAAGAGGTCCCGACCAATGGACTCGACAGTACTTCATAGGTATTCAAACTCATATTTCACAAATTCGCACGAGAAAATAAAACTCAAGAAGGAAAAATCACTCTGGATCCCATTGGCACCATCGCCATAGTCCTTATAGATGCAAATTGAAAGGAATGGTAATTTAAATTTGTAGTTTTCCTATATTATAAATGACTTAGTAACAAATTCCTAGCCTTAATTTTACGAGTCTTGTATTTGAAGGAACCACCACCTGTCAAAAATAGGCGGTTCACCTCCACTTTCTCCTCTAATTTTTTTTCACATCTTGTTGTGATGCTCTTCTTTACCATTGTGACAAACAAATCCAAACAAAAAAAGAAAGCTTCACTCAGATAATGTGACAATGCAAAAGTATAATATGAACAAAGGACATAGGCCCATTATCCTAAATCCCTCTTAAACAATCGAAGAAAACAATGCCTCTAACGATCAAAACAACATATCTTTTTATTACAACAAATACCCATGTTGTACATTGTCCAAATCTGATCTGTAAGATTAATCTCTCTGCACATTTCCTTCACATATCAAGGTCTTTAGAAAATTCATTCGAAGTGAGAACCTTAAGAGAACATCTCCAAACATAAAGAATCATGAGTTCTACACTCAATAAGAAGTCAAGATCTCTTGACGCGATCTTTTGACATGACCTTTAGCAGACACTATGTAATTTGTCAAGGGAAAAATCAATGAGTATGTCAATTTATGAGTAGTTATCATGAACCTATACCCGATACCACTATTAAGAATCACTATTAAACTTTTCGATCAAGAGTGAGAGATAGAGATAACCATTATACTAGTCTCTTCCATTTTCTCTTCTCTTTCCTCATGAAACTCGTGAAAATAAAGGATTTTGATATAAATCAACCGTCGTACAATCACTGATAGTGATTATCCTCATTAACAAGTAGAGACAAACCAATAACGACTGACATAATCTATTTGTCTTATCAACAAAACCAATAATGATTGTACTAGAAACGATTTAATCGCTTGATCTAATTCCTAAATTTATCGTGACGCTTGACCTCCTCGTAAAGTCTTTAGATCGAGGAAGGGAAAATTAATCCTCCCTAACATAGATCACGGTTAGGTAATAATCTAACCTAAAAAACAACATAAAAGTCAAGCCAGGACAATAGAGAGAGAAGAAATAGTAGGCCGAGTGAGCCCATCTTCGAGAAAAGGCTTAAGCTCATTTAACCACATGATCCGGCCTGTTCTGCCGTTCTTCGGATTGTTCACTTCTTCCTTTTTTGTCTTTCCTCAGAAACTTTTCTCTTCGTTTTCGTTTCTCCCTCTCTCCCTTCTTCTCTAAAATCAATTGCAGAAGAAACGAAAAACAAGCGACCGCCCGCCCATGGGAGATTCCAACCTTTCACATCGCACATCAGTTCATAAAGCGCTTGGTGGTGGCCGAGGTCTCCTCTCTTCTTCTTCTTCTTTCTATATGTATTCGAAGCAGCATCTCGTTTCATTTCTCGATAGATCTGTTTCACTTCCATTTACGTTTCACGATCATTTCTATATATGAGTGTTCCCGGGTTTTTTTCTTTCTTTTCGGAATACTAATATTCCCAGTCTAATGATATTGTTCAACAACTCATTATTTGGCTTATATGATTCTGATTATTTTAATTTTGGTTTTTGAGTATGGGTTAATTTCATTTATGCTTTTCTGGTAGTTGCTGATTTGCTATTGTGGAGAAGATGGTGTGGCGGAGCTATGCTGTTAGTCTCGGCGACGACGATGTATTACTTATTCGAAATAGCTGGTTATGATTTCTTACCTTTGTGGCCAACGTTTTGTTGCTCTTTGTTGTTGTTCTCTTCTTTGGGCCAAATCTGCTTCACTTCTCAACAGGTTTCTCCGTTGTTAAAGCTCTTCTATCTTTCCTTACTATCTGGTTACCCATTTCGTGCTTTGTTGTATGAGGATTTATTAGGAGAAAATGGAAGTGATTCTACTTTCATATGCAGACCTTTGCCACCGATTCCTAATATGGAAATTCTGAGAGAACTATTGGAATGGTTTCTGATGAGTTACACGGATGGATTAATTGTGTATTGGCGATTGCACATGACATTACGATTGACAGGAATTTGAAACTTTTTATTAAGGTTAAGGTTTTTCCCCCCTAGCTTTATATCAGTTTATTTGATTGATATACAACTTTAGTTGTCCTTGACTGGAAAATTTGAAATGCCTATTGCTCAGTTTGCTGTTGGCTTGTGGTTTGTATCATTCATTGGTAGTCTCGTCAACTTCCTCACTCTGGTCTATATGGGTGAGTTTCGTGACACTTTTCAGTTCTACAACGCTGATGGTTCCATTGACTTTATTCTAAAGTGCTTATGAGTTAGATGTGTTCTGCAGTGGTTATTTCATTCTATCTGTTCCGTTGGTATATGATAAGTTCCAGCATCAAATCGATGAAAAAACTTTCTGTAGCGGACAGAATCGTTCAAGCACAGTTCAGGAAATTGATGAAACGGTCTTAAGTAAGCTTCCATTTTCCTCAAACAAGGAAAAGAAGATGCAGTAGGTAAGTTTAATTCCTTCTCTCTGCCTCTTGCTTGCATTGCTCAAGTTTAGAGACTAAGATGCAAGCATTTGTGTTGCATTAATTTAGATTATGCAACTCTTCTATTATTCTGTGTTGAAAGTTGAAACTGATTTTTGCTCATACTACATGGAAAGTATTACTCCTGTAACTTCTCTGGAAAAGTTTTGCAACAGCCAAATCATAGAATTTGTGTCCTAATGATTTAGTAGACCGACATTCCATCCCTCAAGCATGCCATGCTGGCTAGATTGGTTCTTTGTGTTTTTTTAGGGTTTTGCCTTATTTAATTGGGACTGTTTATGGTTTGGTGGTGTTCACCTCAAGCATGTGATCTCAGCTATTTAAAATGCATTTATTTTGCTAATTCGGAAATGGTTTCTTCAATTGGATTTTGTTCTAATGAGTAAATGAATGTCTTTTATACCTCATATAAGCGTATAAAACAGCCCCTAATTCCTAATTGAAAGTTTTGGATTTAGGGAATCAAGTATGAAAACGGATAAGCAAAAGATTGTAGTATATATCCTTGCAGAAATGAGCCCTCGTAATTTCTTGATATGAAAATAATAGGACATTGTCCAAACATCACAAGACATGTGTCTTTCACAGATTAAAGTTGTAATGTATCGAAAACCTATTCGAGCAAACTTAGCACAAAGTCAGTTACCCATTCAGAAACCTATTCAAGAAAGCTTTGATGAAAGCATGACTTACTAGTATGAAGATGTAGGCCAAATATGCCCAACAGTTCCTGTTTGATGGCCAGCTGAATTGAGATTACAAAATTAATGCGGCTAATAACATTTATCCAGGAGTTGGTTTTTGTCATAACTCATAAATGATAAGTTCCGAATGTCTTTTCCATCCGTTGCTTCTGTAATCCGGATACCACGTGACAATCCTGTAATTTCATTGTCACAAAATTGAATATTAGCATCAAGTCCGAGTCTAATGCCGAAAATGATTATTGTTAAAGGCAATTGTCTAGTTGAACTCACTAGTCGTCTTCGCTCGCCTCTTAACTGTTTATTATAATTCTCTCTCACAATTTTATGCAGGTGGTTAAGTGTGACGAGGCATATAGGACTGGGTTTCAGATTTGAAGCTTTTGGTTTCTTTTTGCTCGATGCACTCAATTTTCCTTGTACTGGTCGAGTTTCTTTAGGAGCTGCCGGACTTGGGACTAACCTCCACAACCTATATTGTTGAGAGAAGATTCATTTTCCTCTTTCGTTTTAGTTTTACCCCATATGAGAACCCTATATTCTTGATTTTTAAGTCTTGGACTGCAGTTTATACATTTGTGGTTATATTTTTTTACATATTTATTTGGGTTCCTCTGGTGACGGAGGAAGCTTGTTTATACGTTTCTTTTCTGCGTGAGCTTTTTATTATCTCAGTCTAATGAAGGAGATGCATAGCTTCTCGTATGGTGCTTTTTCTCCTCTAGAAGACATAATACACAGGAATCTGAGATTTGTATGCGTATGAATTGAAGGCTAATCGTTCTACAACCTCTGCCTTTACCATGGCATTGTTGAGGTGACGGTATAACAGCATGGAAAAGGTAAGCATATGTTGTTCAGTCGGTGGTGGATCTAGGGCTGCAAAGGAGATGACCTGAACTTGAGTATTGTTGAGCTCGATTTAACAAAGTTCACGATCTTTATCAAGTTTGACTCGGACTTGAAATAAAAATCAAAGTTTGACTCGAGTTCAAAAAAACTGAATTCGAAACATTCTTACATTTAACTCGATTGAAGCTTGAGTTGAACTTGAACATTAAGTACATGGAATTCTTATAATGCATTTAAAAATAACATATAAATGCTACTATTATTAATAATTTAATTTAAAATATTTGAATTGAGTTGAGTATCAAGTAGATTGTATTAATTTATTTAGAATTTGAATTGAGTTTATTCAATTTGAGTATTAATCGAGTCGAATTTAGGGTTTGTTTGTTTGGCTATAATTGGTTTTTTAAAAATTGAATTATGGAAAATGAATTATTGGAATTTGAATTGTGGAAAATGAATTATATTTTTGGAAAACGTTTTAGGGAAAATGTTTTCCGAAAAATGAGTTACATTATTTTGAAAAACATCTAGAAAATGTTTTACGATGTTTGGAATATGTTTAAATCTTTTTTCGACTAGTTGATGAGTTTTTTAAAAATTATTTATTACAAATATTAAATACAATAAATAATATTATTTATCATAAAACTTAATATTATTATTTTTAAAATATTAAAATAATTTATTTATTATTAAATAAATATTAATAAAAATATTAATATTAATATATTTTATTGGAATAAAAAACATTATAGATTATATTAATTATTTATTAAAGTAATAGTATTATATTATATTTTAAAAATATTAATTAGTATATTTTAAATATCTTTATTAAAATATTATTAAATTATTTATTAATATTAAATATATAAATAATATTATTCATTATTAATAATTTAATAATATTATTTCGAAATTAATAAATAATCTAAAATTTATTATTAGAAATATTAATAAATATATTTTAATATTTAATAATTAATAGTTTGATTAAAATGATATTAAAATATTTTATTAATAAATTCATAAAATAAAATTATTTTGAGTATTTATTATTTGAAGTGAAAAGTTCAGAAAATGACTTACGGAAAATCAGACTATAAGTCATTTTCCAGAAAACACGAGAAATTCTGTTGACCAGAAAAATGTTTTATGTTGACCAATCAGTTTTCCTCCAACCAAACACTGAAACATATTTCGGAAAACGAATTACGTAAACAAACACGAGAAAATATTTTCCGAAAAATGAATTACGTGAAACAAACACATGATTTCGAGGAAAACCAATTCCGTAATTGATTTCCCCCAAACAAACATACCCTTAAATAATTTACAATTTTTTTGTTCCCATTTATAATTTGAGGCGAAGCAATGCCAATATTCCAACATGTTGGAGGTTATAGACACCCATTTTATTTGGGTCTACAAAAATATTTATCATATGATTAATTAATTAATTATTATTATTATTATTATTATTATTGTTAATAATATTTTTATTTTTTAATTTTGTAGGTCACATGTTCAACCCACCATTTCCAACAAACTACCCAACAACCCCACTACTACACCACTAGTCCACTACCCTTCTACCACTACATGCCACCATAAATCAAGGAGGAAGTTGTTTTTTTAGGAGAGATCAGCTAGTAACTTAGGGGACCCTCCAAAAGCTTGTTATATAATGATGAGGACCAATCATTCAGGGGGGAGGCGGGTAACCCTCCGATGGATAATGGAGTCTAAGGAGAAGCTTGGCCGGTGTGTATGCGAAGGGGCTCAATGGTACATTTGAAAACCAGCTCCTCAGTATAACTTCCCATGTCTCGAGCCTTCCATGTCGTTCCCTTCGATTCTCTCCTCGGTAGCCACTATGTCCACGAACTCCCTCCACTTCCACTTAGGTTTTCCACAAGCGGCGGCGAGTCTTTGTTCAAGGAAGAAATGGCAGTCCCTCTGTTGTCCAAGAAGATTGATAGGAAGCTTCGTTTGGAGTTTTTTTTACATCGTCGTTTCTCCCGTCCACTGCCAACACGACACACACGAAGCCAACAGGGATGGACGTTGCAACCGTTGAACACCCTGGGATCTCCCCCGCGTAAACTCTTCTTTCTTTTGTCTTTAGCTTTCATACCATTCAAGTTATTATTATTATTATTTTATATCGATGATTGATCTCTGGGTTTTTATCCATCTTCCACTTCATTGCAATAATCAATCAATCGCTTAACCTCCTCATCTCACATTGCCGAGGGATTATTATAACAAGGATGAGGGATTGTTCTTTTTACGATCTATTGGGTGTCAATGTTGATGCCTCCGCTGAGATAAAGAAGGCTTATTATCGAAAAGCAAGGCAAGTTCACCATGATAAAAACCCCGGTTACTTGCGTGGTGGATGACTCATTCTGTGTGGGCTCTTGATGTGGCGAAGCAGCAAGGGATTCACGGTGCTTCGTCCTTTACTCCAACCGCCTCCGCTTTTGCTTCCTCCATCAATACGACGCCGCATTATCCAACGCCAAGAAAACCGTCGACCTTAAACCAGATTGGTCCAAAGGTTGCAGCAGACTCGACGCATCTCACCTCGGTTTGCACCAATATCAAGAAGCTGTTTCGGCTTACAAGAAGGGTCTTGAGATCGATACTAATAATAAAGCATTTAAAACCAACGTTGCTAATGAGATCAACCAGCAGCCGAGTTGCACTGTTCTTGTCGTCGACAATGCTCATATGTTCGAGCTTTCAGGCCTATCGCCGGATGCAGCGAAGAACACCTTGAGCCTCCAGGTTATGCTTGAAATTACGATGAAGCCGAAGCTGAGGCGTGCCTTTTCCTGCTTCATCTCGTGGAGAGGGAGGAGAATTAAGCCAAATTAAAATTTGGTTTTCATAAAACACGTGCACTGTTGCATTTTCCCTTTGTTGCATTTTCGAAAGGGAAACCTGTTGGTCTTGGAAGGTTAGGGCCAAATTGTTGTTTGTCATTTCAGGAGAAATCATTTGTTTGCTTGAAGTCATTTGTGATTTGGTCCCTAACTTTATATTTTTTCTGTTGCAGTCCATTTTTAGTACCAATTTAATCCATCAATTTTAATTCATTTCAATTTAGTTATTCATTTTTTCCTTTTTAATTTTAGCATTTTTTTATTTTAGTTATTCATTTTTTCCTTTTATTTTTAGTGTATTTTTTATTTATTTGTTTTTTCTTATTTTTATTTTATTACCTTTAAAATCTAACATTTTTTAGGGATATTTTCAATCGATCAAAGGTAATTATTCGAATTGAATTTTTAAATTTAAATTTAAATTCTTAATTTTGGCAATTAAAGACAACCGATAAATTAATTGGTACCGAAATGGCAGTTCAAGGGTGTTAATCCTTCCTTGACCGTAACTGACTCCCGAACCCGACATGTTTCTGGTAAAACGCATATCAGGTAGGATGGTGTCCAATCGACCTAAATATCGTTTTAAAATGATCGGTGACGACTCCAATTCGTTTAATCCAAGTCGAAGCCCAATTCCAGGCCCAACTGAAAGACGGTAACGACAGCTTGG